CTTGAAAGGTGAAATTGTGAGGTAAAATGGGCGAGGTGAACTTGAAAGGTGAAATTGTGAGGTAAAATGGGCGAGGTGAACTTGAAAGGTGAAATTGTGAGGTAAAATGGGCGAGGTGAACTTGAAAGGTGAAATTGTGAGGTAAAATGGGCGAGGTGAACTTGAAAGGTGAAATTGTGAGGTAAAATGGGCGAGGTGAACTTGAAAGGTGAAATTGTGAGGTAAAATGGGCGAGGTGAACTTGAAAGGTGAAATTGTGAGGTAAAAGGGGCAAGGGCTGAAATGGAAAGATGAAATGTTCAGGTAAAATGGGCGACGTGAACTAAAAAGGTGATGTGGGGGAGGCAAAAAATGTTAATACATGACACTTATATTGCGAGAACACCGTCCAAATGTCTGGGTGTGAATGATTTATTTGGACATTGTACATCAGGATGAGAGCATTAAGCAGCCTGACATCCACGAGCATGAATATAGTGGTAACAGAAGAAAGGTCATGACCTGAGCCAGGGGCATAAGGGGCATGTTACTCAGCCTGGTGTGATGCAGAGGGCGCAGTCGGCAATGCATATCGAGTGCCCATACATACCAAAGTCAGTGGGTGAGTTTACTTTTACGCCGCTCATTCCAGCAATATCATAGCGGGATACACCAGAAATGGGCTTCACACGTTGTACCCATGTCAGGAATCGAACCCGGGTCTTTGGCGTGACAAGCAAACGCTTTAACCACTAGACTAACCCTGCCCCCACCCCCACCCCGTCCCAATCCTTATGAAACGTACCTTCGATTCAATCATAGTGCCATTCTGCCATATACATTGTTTGCGTTAATATCTTTACGACGAGGACACCGAGTGTTGACACTGTATAAACTTTCATCTGAACAATATTCACCTACTTGTGTAACCTTTTGTGGGGTTGTACACGTGACTTGGTGTACGTGTTCAGTAACAACGGAGAGTGTTGAGAGTTTGGCACGTGCTGTGTTGAAAGCAGGTCGATCAGACTACCAGCCCCGACTCAGCTATTGAGAAATCTGCGTGACACTTATATAACCGGGGTAGATATCGGGTCAAAACGCTGTCAGTAAGGGACTTGGCTGAACGCCCAAGTTGGGAAGGTGAAATGGGTGTGGTGATTAAGGTGAGGTGATCTGGGTAAAACGACCTGAATAAGGGGTAATGTAAAACAGATGAAAAGAGTGTGTTGAACCGGCTGAGGGAGACTGGAGGTGGTGGTGAAATGATGACGGTGAAATGGATGATGAGTGAGTGAATGCGGTTATACGCCGCTTTTAGCTATATTCCAGTACATTATGGCAGATGACACCAGGAATGGGATTCATACAATGTACCACACATTGAATAGAATGAATAGAACAAGTGTCTTTTGCGTAGCGAATGAACGCTTTAACCACTAGGCTTCCCCCATCGCCACAAATGGTGAGGAGAAATGGATGAAGGAAAATGGGCAAGGTGAACTGGAAAGGTGCACTTGGTGAGGTACCATGGGCAAGGTGAACTGGAAAGGTGCACTTGGTGAGGTACCATGGGCAAGGTGAACTGGAAAGGTGCACTTGGTGAGGTACCATGGGCGAGGTGAACTGGAAAGGTGAAATTGGTGCGGGTAATATAGGCGAGTCGAACTGGAAAGCTGATATGACGTAAAGTGGGCAAGGTGAACTGGAAGGGTGATATGACGTAAAGTGGGCAAGGTGAACTGGAATGGTAATGTGGGGAAGGTAAGATATGCCAATACAGGAGGACACTTATACACTTGCGGGAATACTGTTGAAATGCCTGTGTGTGTGCCCATGTGTGAATCGAACCCGGGTCTTCGGCGAGACGAGCGAACGCTTTAACCACTAGGCTAAACAACAACTCGCTCCCACCACCACCCCACCCCACCCCCATTCCCGTCCTAAGCGTTATGAAACGTACCTTCAATACAATTATAGTAACTCTTTCTGTCATACTTATATATATTTGTTTGTCTCATGTTCTTTAGGACGTGGACATCTGTCACGATGAGACTGTATGTTGACACTGTATACAATTTCATCTCAACAATATTCCCCAACTTGTGTAACTCTTTGTAAACTTGGTACACGTGACTTGGTGTTCGTGATCTCTAACAACGGCAGTAGACGTGTTGAGACTTTGGTTTGTGCTGTGTGGAAAGCAGGTCGATAAGACTGTGTGGGTCCAGAGGATTCAACTTCCAGCCCCGACCCAGCTATTGTGAAATCTGCGTGACACTTATATAACCGGGGTAGATATCGGGTCAAAACGCTGTATGTGAAGGAATTTGGCTGAACGCCTGTTTGTGACAGCTGCTTCATATCACCGCGAGTCAGTCTGAAGAAATACAGGTCTTAGATGTTGAACACTTTTGCAAAATGAACATAAACAATTTTTAAGGAGAGAGACGAAACGCCATTAGGAAAATCTGAGTGCCATGACGCTCTTTTCTTCTTTGAGTAAAACAGTATGCGATTACGTTTGTGTCTTCTTCTTGTGCCATACAACGACGCCCTTCTCAATGGTGGGTAAACAGAAGGCAAAGACGTAAAGACAAATCACAGTTACGCTCTGCTTCCTTGTGTGAAAACGTTGTATATATTATATATTATATAACAGCACACAATAACGCTGTTATATTCCTTGTATAAATGAGAATACAATGACGCTCTTCCTCCTTGTGTAGAATAACATCAAATATAATTCTCATCTTTTATGTGTATTTCAAGTTGTCGTTTGTATAAATGTATACACATAAACATTAATTATGCAACACCCGTATTTTCTCACACTGAGAAACGTTAATGTAGCGTGCATATCATGTGTCCGAGATTTCCATACCATATGAGTTTCGTAGTGCACAGAAATAGTTGAGGCGAAACATAGCCAGAATTATATAATCTGGTTTATATGAAGATGGTGCAGATTTGGAAAATGACGTCATTTCATGCAAAAACATTTCGAATTCACTCTTCTTGTACATAGAAAGCTGTCAGTACCATGCACACATCTTGCTCACGGAATGTAAGAATATTGTCTTGTAGGTCTAAACACTGACTTTACTTCAGTATCTTGTGAAGTCTCCCTGCACACGAACAACTGACTCAATGCGCCTCCTCATTCCTCGGATCAATCTCCGGATTTGATTCTGTTCCATTCCTCATGAAAAGGAGCAGTCGATTCATGGAGATTCTAGACATGTGGGTCTCTCTGTCGAATCGCGACGGCCTAAAATGCCCCACACATGCTCAACAGGATTGAGATCTGGACTCATGGCTGGGCATGGCATGGTTATAGGTCCCAACAGCATGAAAATGTGACAGGACGTCCTCTGTGAGGCCTAGCATTGTCATTGATAGAGATGGGTCTTGTGGCTGGAGGATAACTATCACAATGTGGGACAACAACCCTCCCATGGATCTCCTGTTCATACCGAGCCCCATTAAGTTTACCACGAATGCGGCAACTGCAACCCAGGGGAATGCATCCCCTTACCAGGACGTGCAGGGAACCATAACCGTGTTCCTTTATCTCCAGACACGTGTGGGGCGGTGGGGTAGCCTAGTGGTTAAAGCGTTGGCTCGTCACGCCGAAGACCCGGGTTCGAATCCCCACATGGGTACAATGTGTGAAGCCCATTTCTGGTGTCCCCCGCCGTGATGTTGCTGGAATATTGCCTAAAGCGGCGTAAAACCAAACTGAGTCAGTCAGTCCAGACACGTGTATGACCAACCACCATATGCAATAAGAAACGACTCTCATCGAAACACTGAAACCCATGATGCAGTGTTCCAGCGAACACGTTGATTACACATGGCACGTCATGCTACTCTATGAGTTGGAGAGGCATGATGGGTCTTCTGGCCTGTAATTTGCTTCTTTCAGCCGATTCCTGATGGTCCTTCAGGGAATTGCTCTCCCTGGTAGCCATTCTTGCCTTAACGATGTGCTCGAGTCCTATGAACGGTGCCTAACAGACAGGCAGACATTTTATTCAGTAATAGGCCACTGGCCCAAAATACATTCATAAATATGATAAGAAGTTACATGCGTTTTACATAAAAACATGAGAATCTCTTATTTTCCCAACATTATATAAAAATAGGCATAAATTATTTATAACATTTATGTTTGTTGAAGTCATTATGTTTATAAAACTGTGTTGTGAAATAGGATGCTTCAAATATTTACCCAGAAGCTTATTCCTTATATCTAGGTAGGCTTTACAATAAAGTAAAACATGTATTTCATCTTCAACTAAATGAATATTAATTTTGTAGCAAAAAGGACAGAATCTTGAATCATAAGGGACATTGTTATATCTACCGGTCTCAGAACTAAGTTTAAATTTACTGCATCTAAATTTTGTTAAACATTTTTTTAAATATGAGGCAATACCTAAACTGAGATAAGTTTTAACATTCAGGAGGGACTTGAAAAGTATATAATTAGAACACTTGGTTGTATTATGTAGGGATGAGTACTAATCTTGTGAAAGATTATCAGACAATCTTTGCTTAAAAACAGAAATGAAACCATCAATATCAATATCTGAACGGCGCCTAACAATTGTCAACAATACTCTATTCTCTCTTATGTTGTCTTACGGGGTCTGACATAATTGGTAACCATGTAACCAACTTGATGTCCAATTATTCCGCATGCCTTGCAGCCTCTGAAAGGTATGGTACTGAATATTCAGTCCAAACTGAAAGGAGAGAGCGTGACATCTTTTCAGTAAAAACGTGATTTCCACAATGTTTGAGTATGACATTGTACGAGCATTGCGCATATATCATGCTATACAGCAAGATGAACAATGTTATTAAATCATACAGAAAAATGCCCTGTTTTCTTAATTATAGGTCTATGAATTAGGTGGTGCTTGATTCATTTCCATATGTTTATAATTGAAATAATCACGAAATTGCACAATTATTTCAGAAAAAACTATAGTGTCAATATATTGTCATTTCAGAATGACGACAGAAAAGACAGCACAAAATGGACTACCTGTTCCGAAAGTGGATTACGAACTGGAAACAAAACCGGACAAAACTGGCCTATCACGGAAACATCCGAAGTCAAATGCTGTGGACACAGAGTGTGGTGTTTCGGCATGTACTCCTCACAGCCTCCAGCGCTGTGCGAATATTGTAGCGTTCACAGCATCGGCGGGCACTGTCTCACTTTTTCTTCAGACTTTGTCTACATACATCGCCACTCAACTCACCTCCCTTGAAAAACAGTTTGGTTTAAGCAGTACAGACAGTGGATTCCTCGTAAGTTGCAATGACATCGGCTTTCTTTCGACAGTTTTATTTTTCAGCCATTTCGGGAGAAAAGGACACATACCTCGAATCTTGGCAGTAGCTGCGATCATCTATGGACTGTCAGGCATTGCTTGCAGTCTGTCACAATTCATTCAACCAATGTCTCTACCAGTTGGCACCAGTGGCGGTAATTCTTCGTCAGAAAACGGCGATGAGTACCTGTGCACACAAGAAGGAAGTAGAACCAGACAGAACGAGACATGCTCAGTAGACGAGTCACGTGCTTCCGGTTCCGGACAGTGGGTAACATATCTCATCGCAACGAGTCTCATAGTTCAAGGGATGTGCAAGGCGCCCAAGACGCCGCTGTCGGCGTTATATATCGATAACAACGTTAGCGACAAGAAAAAAACAGGCTTGTTTTTAGGTGAGCAACCATATATTTATATTTTAATAAAATATTATAAAGCTGAATGTGTGAGTTTGTTTGTTGTTTAACGCCACACTCAGCAGTATCCAAGCTATATGGCGGCTGTCTGTAAATAATCGAGTCTGGACCAGACAATCCAGTGATCAACATCACAAGCATCGATCTACGCAATCTGAACACGATGACATGTGTCAACCAAGTCAGCGTGCCTTAACACCCGATCCCGTTAGTCGCCTCTTACGACAAGCATGGGTTGCTGAAGAATGGGTGAGAGTAGTTTTAACCGGGAGCATCATCCTCCGGGTTAGAGTAGGACCTGTGCTGGTCATAAGACCAAATTGATGAATGGTGGTTATTTGTCTTCGTACCCAGGAGGCGTGAATCGTTGTCCATAATGTCCATTGCAGACGTGTGTGTTCAAGACTCGATTATCTGCAGACCGCCGCCACATAGCTAGAATATTGCTGAAGGCAGCTTTAAACAAACAAACGTTTACACAGAGGAGTCTCATCTATGACCAAGCAGTTTGAAGACCGTATACGGTAGACTTTGGTGAAACAAATTTGGTGAAATTGCAAGAAGAGATGGCATGTGTTCTCTCGATATTGTAAACTTTACATATTTCATTTCTGATCATGTCGAATCTTGGTGTACAAGTATATGTTCTTATTTTAAAGAGAGTAAATTTGACAACTGTTATCAGGAGATTAAGGACATCGTTCTTTTTTTCAGAGAATCCAAATATGATTTTCTTCTTATCGATATTCAATGTGATATCTGTTTTTATTTTGATCCAATTGGAAACTTGGTTCCATATGTTTCTAGATTTTGGACAGTCGTAAAAGAGATGAATTCCGCTTTCTGGTGCATTTTTACAAAATGAGCATAACTTACTCTCTACATACCCCATCTTAAACAAAAGTAGGTTTATAGACAAGATTCTATGCACTAAAGAATATTGGAACCATCTACAGTCTGAGTTTGTGTGAGCTCGAAATATAATCTTTTGATATGATTTCCATTCTTTTTCACTTATATCTGTTTCAAGTTCATCTTCCCATTTCTTTTTATAGCTATACATAGAAGAGTCTGAAATTGCAATAAATATATCCTAATATGTCCTACAGCCTTTTTAGTTTTAAAGATGTCCTGTATGTAATAAGGAATAAATGGTAATTCAAGTGTTTCTCCAAATGATATGTTGTATGTTTTATAATATTGTTTGACTGCTCCTACTAGGCTTGCATATTCTAAGAAGTTCGTTTTTTAAGTGGTTTCTAGTTTGCTCATGAAACTTTTGATATGTATAGATTGTTCCATCAGTATCTATCAAGTCATTTACATATGTTATGCCTATTCTAGCGTAGTGTTGGTACACGAATGTTTTTTTATTCAAGAGAATTTGTTCATTGTGCCATAAACATTGCGATAAAATATCATTGCCCTGAACAACTTTTATTTTTCAATGACGTATGGAGGCCCCATGCTAAAAGAAGGTCTTTCCAAAAACAGTTGTTGTTTTTTATTTATAACTCTTTGTTATATAAATCTTTCTCCCTTCAGCAAGATATCTTGTATCTTTTGTGAAACATTGTAGGAAACGATGGCAGTCAATTTAGAGTCTTTTAAACATATTCTTTTAAACTATGCAATTTTTTTGGGCATTGATAGTCTGTTTTATGTCGGGCATTCTTAAACCGCCCTCCTCATATTTTTGTTTTATGATATCACGTGTAATCTTATCAGGTTTGTTATACCATACAAAGGAGAAACATAGTTTTTCTAGTTTGTTAATAATGTCATTTGATGGGTTGGGTAGGGCGGAGAATTAGTGGTTTATTGTTGGCATAAAATTATGATTTCAGGATACGGTAGACTTGTTTCTGTGTTCAGCTCCCGATATGAGCACTGGCAAGCCCATTCTTCGAATCCACCAACTCAAATGCGCTGGTTCTATCCGAAAAGGGGCGGTGGGGGAGCCTAGTGGTTAAAGCGTTGGCTCGTCACGCCGAAGACCCGGGTTCGAATCCCCACATGGGTACAATGTGTGAAGCCCATTTCTGGTGTCCCCCCGCCGTGATGTTGCTGGAATATTGCTAAAAAGCGGCGTAAAACCAAACTCAGTCAGTCAGTCAGTCAGTCTATCCGAAAATCGATAAAACTGTTTTTGGAATCAATTTACAAACATTTATCTTATTTGGTTGAATGCGCTTGGTCTGGCTGTATACCTACAATGCATTTGTCAAACTATTTCTTGAAGTTTACCTCAGCAAACAAGGAACTGATGCAACTGGAGAATTGGGAAACATCACAATGTAGATGATATCCGGGTACATCCTTCGCTTAACATTCGCGACGAAGCATTCATATTCAAGCGATACGACTTATCAGATACGTATGTCATGACGTTAACGCTATCTTTCTGATAAAATATTTGAAGAACAAAACAGTACTTTTTTAGTAGTATGTAATTCTATAATCAGTAAGTATATTTTGATGGGATGGTATACAAGAACGGTTGCTATTGTTTCTTCATACATAAAGGTTGCCCAGATGTCATTAGTACCGCTGTGATATAGCCGAAATTCTGTTGCCAGGGCAACCCGTAGAAGCGTATTTTGACATAGTCTAAAACATTATCACTTTCATCTTTGTACAAGATAATTTCATCTACGCTGAACATGATACTTACATTTACGCAAATGAACTTATAACCTTCTTATAACGTATTCCTTACGTACGAGAAAGGTCAAGAAAATAGGAACCTAACTGGCCACCAAGAATGTGTCTCTAATGCCAATAGTATATATCTTGTGTTCACAGGTGTGATAACGACACTGACGCTGTTCGGCCCTGCCTTGTCGTTTGCAATTGGAGGTGTATTCAGCAGGGTTCCAGTGGACCTGAAGGGTACAGTCGCCCAATATAATCTCCACGGAGAGAGTGAATGAGTGTGTGAGTGTATGAGTGAGTGGATGTGTGCCTGTGTGAGTGAGTTTGTGATAGAATGAGGGAGTAAATAACGCCCCAGTCAGTAATATTCAAGGTAAAGCACAGATTGATTTTGTTACCCTTCGCTGAAGGTCCTCAGTTGTCATCCTCGACAAACATGGAGTGTTTTTCCCAACACGATTTTCGTATATGATGACAATGATTAAGTGAGCAAGTGAGTGTATATATACGATAGACTATGTTCCAAAGCTTAATGCCAGTCAAGGTCTACCTGTAATTATGTATGTCCATTTCTAAACGGAAATATTTTCTCTGCATGTATCATTATCTACAAGATATCGAAATTTCAATAAGTATGCGGTATCCGGAGACAAGATGATTTTGATTCAAACTTGCTAGGATCGTCAATTTACCCAAGCCTCGCTCGCTTTTCTACAAGATGACGTCTTTAAGAACTGCCAACATCGAATTGCTGAGTGCTGAAAATGTGACGTTGATGTAAGACGGTGACGTTAGATCAATATCATCCCCAGACACGTTACTAACGCCAACTGACCCTCGCTGGATAGGGGCGTGGTGGATGGGATTCTTGGTATTTGGCAGCCTTGCCGTGGTGCTGGCGCTCCCTCTATTCTGCTACCCCCGGAGACTGAAGACGTCCTGGAAAGAGAAACAAGCTGAGGCGGATGCTCAAGAAAGCAAAGAAGAAAGTTTCTATGAAAAGATTAAAGGTATGTATGGTCCGGCGGAGGGAATCCATGTGATTTTGGGTTTGATTTGAGGTGTTGATCGTAGGCACAAGGTGCCCATAGAAGGTGTGTTTGTGTTTGTGTAGAAATTGTGTGTTATTACTTTTTGGTTATTTAAACTCAAATCTGTGTTGTTAGTTTGGGTATAGAAACTCTGTGTTATTCTTTGGGTGTAGAAACTCTGTTATTAGTTGATGTATCGAAACACTGTGCTATTCCTTTTTGGGTATAGAAACTCAATGTTATTAGTTTGGGTGGAATAAGACATATCTAACACTAAATACATAAGCAAATTGATTTTCTTAGGTCATTAGAACAAAATCCCTATACTTCCTCATGCTTGGATTACCATAATTATTGAGTTTTGAAAAACTAACCATAATAGAAATACCCCTCTGATAAGTGTAAATTGGCACGGCTCCCACGGCCGAAAGCTACGATTACACAATGCCATTTAGAAAGTGGTCAAATGCAACATGTGCTATATTTGGGATGACACTTTCTTAGTAAAGTACAGATTCTAGTACTTTTTGGGGTTGGATCCCATCCGGGATTCGAACCCCCACCCTCAGAGTCAGGCACCAAATCGCCAGCACACAAAGTCGGCCGCCTAACCCGCTCAGCCACCGCGACTTCCACAAAAATGGAAGTGTTATCCCAAATATAACATATGTTGCATGAAACCTATTCACATTATCACGACAATCCATCGTTTGAAAATACAGTCATCAGCAAGGAAATAACAACTGATAACGTAATACAAACAAGGTGAGCCAATTTCCCAGTACAAGCGATGTCTCAAGATAGTCAGTGTACGTGTCAGTCTAGCCCAGGTCAGGCGTGTTTAAAGTAGGTCAGGCATGTTTAAAGTAGGTCAGGCATGTTTAAACTAGGTCAGGGCTTAACTAGATACGGCATGAGCATAAGAGGGTCGTGACAACAATATATAATTTCAGACGGGGACAACACATGCTTGTACCTCTTGACTCAGGGGTTTGGTAGCGTAGTGGTTATAGTGTTTGCTCGTCACGCCGTAAACCCTTGTTTGATTCTTCAACTGGTACAGTGTGAGCTATGGTATCCTATAATTGCCATCGCGTGAGCAGACCTTACCTGATGTTCACCTCAATGATGCTAATATTGCTTAGAGCGGCGTAGAACCATATTCCCTAACTCGGTCCATCCATCCGGTGTGTCACGCCGAAGGCCCGGGTTCGATTCCCTACATGGGTACAATGTCTGAAGCCCATTTCTGGTGCCCCAGAAAAGTAAAATACCTTCGCTAGCGAGAGTTGCACCTATGCTTGTGTGGTTACCATCAGTCAAAGGTCAAGCAAAACGTTCAGGGTTTTATTTATCATGATGATATTATTGTTTGTTCCGACTCATGTTTATCTCTACAGATATGGAACTATATATCTACATGTTCCTTGTCCAATCCCACGAAATTAGCTGTCATTCATTTATGTCAAGGTCAAGTACCCGTGTCATAGTGGCATTTTTACTTTCTCTTGAATATGACAATCAGACAATCCAGTGATCACTTGTTACAGACCTGCCGGTGTCAGTGCTGCGGGTCGTACGGAACCCAATCTACACCTGCTCCTTGTGCGGCATCATTTTCATCAACTTCACCGTGGGCGGATACGTCGCGTTCGGCCCAAAGTACATGGAGACGGAGTTCGGGATTCCATCGTGGCAAGCTAACGTCATACTAGGTACGATATGCTGAAGTAGTAAGCTAACGTCATACTAGGTACGATATGCTGAAGTAGCAAGGTAACGTCATACTAGGTACGATATGCTCAAGTGGCAAGGTAACGTCATACTAGGTACGATATGCTGAAGTAGTAAGTTAACGTCATACTAGGTACGATATGCTGAAGTAGCAAGCTAACGTCATACTAGGTACGATATGCTGAAGTAGCAAGGTAACGTCATACTAGGTACGATATGCTGAAGTAGCAAGGTAACGTCATACTAGGTACGATATGCTCAAGTGGCAAGGTAACGTCATACTAGGTACGATATGCTCAAGTGGCAAGGTAAACGTCATACTAGGTACGATATGCTCAAGTGGCAAGGTAACGTCATACTAGGTACGATATGCTCAAGTAGTAGCAAGGTAACGTCATACTAGGTACGATATGCTGAAGTAGCAAGGTAACGTCACACTAGGTACGATATGCTCAAGTGGCAAGGTAACGTCATACTAGGTACGATATGCTCAAGTGGCAAGGTAACGTCATACTAGGTACGATATGCTGAAGTAGCAAGGTAACGTCATACTAGGTACGATATGCTGAAGTAGCAAGCTAACGTCATACTAGGTACGATATGCTCAAGTGGCAAGGTAACGTCATACTAGGTACGATATGCTCAAGTGGCAAGGTAACGTCATACTAGGTACGATATGCTCAAGTAGCAAGGTAACGTCATACTAGGTACGATATGCTGAAGTAGCAAGGTAACGTCATACTAGGTACGATATGCTCAAGTGGCAAGGTAACGTCATACTAGGTACGATATGCTCAAGTGGCAAGGTAACGTCATACTAGGTACGATATATGCGTCATAAGGTGGCAAGGTAACGTCATACTAGGTACGATATGCTCAAGTAGCAAGGTAACGTCATACTAGGTACGATATGCTGAAGTAGCAAGGTAACGTCATACTAGGTACGATATGCTCAAGTAGCAAGGTAACGTCATACTAGGTACGATATGCTCAAGTGGCAAGGTAACGTCATACTATGTACGATATGCTCAAGTGGCAAGGTAACGTCATACTAGGTACGATATGCTCAAGTGGCAAGCTAACGTGTCTCTGTCCTGTTGTATGTGTTCCCTCTGCAGTGCACTAGTCTGGAATATTTGACAATCTTATAAACTGAACTTGTAAAAGTAAGTACTGTTATATATCAGATAGAGTCACAGGTTGAAGTTGCTGTCTGTAATATTAGTTCCTTTATAGAAAGTGGCGAGGGAACGAAATGTGCTCGTGTCTTCAGAGATGTTCTGTTGGGAAAAATGTTAAATCTTCGGGGGGTTTTCAACGTTATTTATTCAAATAATATCGGGACCATCCCGTTCTACTTTCACAGGCGTACAGGCCGCTGTCTCCCTGGGTCTGGGAACATTCATTGGGGGATTCCTCACGTCCAGGTTCCGCTTGAATCCATTGGGGTGCTTGAAGTTTATCGTGGGGGTGTGCACTGTGGCTGTTGCTCTGGAATCTTTGAACTTCATCTTCGGCTGTGACAACACGCAAATCAGAGGACTGTTAGTTCAACTTTACTTCTTATTTTATACACTAACACCTTTGTTTGAAAAATATCAATAACACTGCTACCACAATGTGCACAACTTAATACCACTGTTTCCACAAAGTTAACGTGTTAACATTGCTTCCACAAACTAAACAAACCAATAACACTGTTTCGACAAAGAGTGAGTGAGTGGGTGAGTTTAGTTTTACGCCGCACTCAACAATATTCCAGCTATATGGCGGCGTTCTGTAAATCATCGAGTCTGGACCAGACCATCCAGTGATCAACAGCATGAGCATCGATCTGCGTAACTGGGAACCGATGACATGTGTCAACCAAGTCCGCGAGCCTGACCACCCGATCCCGTTAGCCGCCTCTTACGACAAGCATAGTCGCCTTTTGTGGCAAGCATGGGTTGCTGAAGACCTATTCTACCCCGGATCTTCACGGGTCTTCCACAAAGAGAACAACGTGTTAACAATGTTTCCACAATGTGAACAAAGTAATAACACTGCTTCCACAAAGAGAACAACGTGTTAACAATGTTTCCACAATGTGAACAAAGTAATAACACTGCCTCCACAAAGAGAACAACGTGTTAACACTGCTTCCACAACCTGCAATAGCATATTAACAGTACTGCCACATGATTTCTGCCATATTAATTCTTAATAACTCATCACTTTATTACAGTCAATACTCGAAACTGTTTGCACCGTGAAAAACGTGGAGAGCAAACACTAGTAGTTTATACTGACAGTTAACTTAAGGAGGTGGTTCGAATCCCGGGGTGTGGCTTTGAAGGTGGTACTTGTTGTTACCCTGGCCGGTGCTCGAAATTAAGGGTATCAAAGGAGAACTGGCTCGGCTCGAACGCAGTTTACCTGAGGTAACTCAGTGGGCTAACACTAGATAACCTGCATTTGGCCTGGTTGTAACATGTTACCACACAAACATGTGCATACGCTGTGCTATAAGTGCAATACTCTTTGATGAGGGTATAAACCTGTTTCACCTCACTTTATTAAAACCCTAATCTTTTTCACCGTCTTTTCTTTGTAATCACACATAACATGATGCAGCATTTTGAGAACTTACACGTTTCTGTAATAAAACCGTTACTATGAATGGAGCCAGTATATGCCGGGTTTTACTTGAGCGACATTAATAGTTTCGTTTCGTTTATTTGTAACATTTGTTTGTGTTTTGTTTTGTTTTGTTGCTTTTTCTGAGAAGGTTTTTGTATGGCATTTCTATAGTCTAAACAAGAACATCCTGTCTTCTGGTAAAGCTAGGTTTTATATACTTACATTGTTATGTTTATGTTTTATGTTAAAGGTTGCCAGGCAACACAACGGCTGATTGTGATTGTGAAGGAGTCAAGTTTCTACCTGTGTGCGGTGATGTCTCAGGAGAAACGTATTTCTCGCCGTGTCACGCGGGATGTCGCGTCCAAAACGAGACAGTGGGTTGCTCATTTTGACTGCCAGCATTCTCTCTGCCTCCCGCCCAGACCCAATATTTAATAGTTCATAGTTTTAGGGCTGGCTAAAATTATCGATAATCGGAAATATCGGTTTTTTAATAAGCTGTGAAATAACATGTCACCACTCACTAGTGACGTGAAATATATTCATTTCTTTCAGACATATTTGCTCAAAGCTACATCTCCGATATGTATCGATAATCGATCGATTTTAGTTAACTATTATCGATCTTTGTGATCTATATCGAGAGGCAGCCCTACATTACTTCTAAACGTAGAATAAATTTATCTCTGTGCATTCTTGATCAACTATTTGAATATTCATTTGGATTGACTGTACCACACTGCTATATCTACAGGCTTATGTCGACTGTTCTATGGAGATGGGGGGAGGCGTGACGCCAGGCCAGTGTGACTCCGGTTGCCCCTTCCTCTACCCGTACGTCATCACGACGGTATTCTACGGCTTGGTGGGGACGCTGTCCATCATCCCGGCTTATATCATCATGCTGAGGTACAGGGGTTGATACACAAATAGAGTACTTCCTGTTTTAGACGAGACAAAATGTCTGTCCCAAACCTTCAAGGATTCGTTTATTGTAGCCTCTCTTGTTACTATGAACCAGCTAAATATGACTGTTATCACACAGGTATAACTATTTATAATTATACTATTATTATACTATTTATACGATTTATGAAATTAATATTAGGTCGAAGACTTACCTCTATTTACAGTCCCAATTGGAATCTGTTTTGGTGGATCATCTTAACTGATAATTCTTTGGTGTTCACGTATTCTACCATACATTATGGTTCTCGATGCTATTATTTACAGGACTGTAGGAGACGATGATAAAGCCATGGCCATTGGGATTCTCAGTTTTTGTATATCCCTGCTGGGTAAGTGTGTTGGAGGAGTGAATGTTCATCTACTATTGGTTATGGTTTTAAACCGCCTTTAGCAGTATTTCTGCAATATCACGGCATGGAGCCCCAGCAGAGAGTCCTTCCATCAGTGAGAGTGTTGAGTGGGGTTTGTTTTTCATTTTTACAAGTTATGTTTTGATGAGATGAATTCCTAAAGAGGGATACTTTTTAAATATAATTGTCCCTCGGGGTCTAGTTTCTTAACTGAATTACTTAATGCTACTTGTTTATTAAATTCAAGACCATTATGTGTAGAAAGATTCCAGCCTTACCGTTGGCGACTCCCGTGCGGGCGGTAGGACACTATGGCATTATATGATCTGAAAATATATACCGAAATTACTGAACATATAAAACATGTGTCGACCTTCCCAGCATGGCTATTTTGATGAATGATATATGGAACACTATTCGGTGGTCAGAGGCTATGTTGACAGGCGGGCTTGATTTTCACACGATACCAGAAATCAACACAAGTCACTACCCTGAATCGAGCTGATCACTTGAACTTGTTGACAACCTAAATGGTATCTGCAATGCCATACGCAGTGGAGGTCAACAAGGGTCAAGTTAACAGAACAAATTGAAATAGCCTTATCTATATGATTTCATCTCTCTGGTCGCCTCTCTGTACAAACATGTCATTTACCTAAGGAGCAGATGACCGGTCAAGTCAGTCGACAATAACGCAATATTTGAAAATAGTCTTGTTTCACATTACCGCCCAAAGCAAAAATTCTACCCTAAGACTTTTATTTTTTTTACACTAGAGAAAATGCAACTTTGACTCTCAAAATGTGCATGTATTTTTCACAGTTCTAAGTTTGTATTTTTTATCTGAGATAAGAACCCGTGAAGATCCGGGTTAGAATTGATCTTCAGTAACCCATGCTTGTCTTAAGAGGCGACTAACGGGATCGGGTGGTCATGCTCGCTTTTTTTGACTGGGTTGACACATGTCATCATATCCAAATTGCGTAGATTGTTGTTCATGCTGTTGATCCCTGGATGGTCTGGTCCAGACTCGATTTTTTACAGACCGCAGCCATATAGCTCGAATATTGCTGAGTGCGGCGTAAAACTAAACTCACTCAATCACTATCTGAGAAAAGGTGTAAATTTCCATAGACATCAAAGGGTTTGGGACATATAATAAAATGTAATATAAATATAATTCACCCGCCCGACCCATATTGTTTTGAAAAAGTGATGAGAAATACCAATATTTTATGTGGCCTAACAACTGGAGTATTACAATTCGGATGGGAATTAGTCTCTATGCTGTTAAACTTTTTGACAAATGATGAGGTGATCTGGTGAAACAGCAGAGAGGCACAGCTTGGATGTCACTGGATAACGACGACCTGGCAACCAGCCTAACTCTGGGGAAGGCCAACATACTAGGACTCACTCCGGTCAAACCTGGTCAACACCAGAAACAACTCGTAGCCACTCTCACTGTCTCTGCCACGCCCGTTGATCGTAGGATCGTAGAAGTAATAGTTAAAACATGTTCCTGAAACGTTCCTGCTGTTGTTCAACATAGAGAATGAGAGATTTAATTCATTTCTTGAATGATTGTGAAATATTAAGGGTAGGCATAAATCTCAACCCTTTTATCATCCAGGTTTCCTTCCTGCGCCAATAGTTTATGGCAAAGTGATCGACACGACCTGCACGCTGTGGAACTTCACGTGCGGCACGCGGGGCTCGTGCGCCGTGTATGATATTGTTGATCTGCGAATGAAGATAATTGGCATGAACGTTGGGCTGCGTGCTACCTCGGACCTTGTTTTCATAATTGCGTTTCTGATTGCCCGGTTTGTAATAAAAGAAAAGGAATATTCTTCTAGCAATGAAACATCCGACACACGACTGTGAGAAAGACGTCCTCTTTGACTGATTTTATTTTGGTACGTTGCATTTGCGTTTTTGGCACTTTCGTTGTTGAGGGAAATTTTCTGAATAACAATTTTTTAATACTTTGGCAAAGATCTACGCAAGTATAGATAACGTTTGTTAATATTTATTGAAATAAGTCAAAAGTATTTTAATCATTAAGTGTGTGAATATATTGTTTTGTACATCTCCATGTTCATTTGTTGATTTAAGTGTGCACTGGCCTCGTTTAAACAACTCATTTTCATATTTGCGTCCTTGGGAGATCAAGAGATGTGCCAAATACATTTTTAATTGAAAGTGTATTTAACTTTGATATTTTTGCTAATAAAATACATGAGTACTGTTTTACATCGTTTGCCTCAAGTTTCAATTTGTTTCGGAAAGCAAGCTCAACTATTCGCTGATATTGAATATGAAATGTCTTCAGTTACTTCTAACATATACACGCGAGCATAATTCAAAACCACTGTATACAAGATCCAACGCCGATATATGATTAATAAACACCACCTAATCTGGACCCAAGTTAACAATGAGGATCGGTCTTCAGCAACCCACGCATGTCGTAATGGACGACTAGTATTAGGTGGTCATGATCGGTTGACCATGTCTTCTTATCCCAATTGTGTTGATCAATATCAATCACTGAATTGTCTGGTCTGGACCCTACTGTTTATATGCAAAATCGATTGATTTTTCGCGGATATCAATAGCGCACTGCATTTTACTACCGCTTCATTCATTTTCTGCCCCAGACAAAACGAATATATACTGACACACATTGAAAACGCAAAACCAAATTCAAATGAGGTAAACTTAACAAACAACAACACTTGGATGAAAATTGTTCTACAGTTATGTTGAGAATTTCATTGTGCTTCATTTTCATAAAAAAGGATTGAAGGAGTTCCGCCAATATGACTGACACGTCAAGCGTCACACACAGACCCCCCTTACGTCCGTCATTAGCGAGTGTGACCTCCCTGAGCCTGTACACATGCACGGAGTCGACGTGGCATGGATTCGCACAAACGTCGAACAGGTGCTTGGGGGATGTTCTGCCGCTCTTGTTGTAAAGCCAGGCTCAACTCAGCGACGTTGTTTGGCTGACGTTGAGGTTGACATTGATGAATCCGGCGGCCAAGCTCATGTTCATGTTGCTGCCTGTAGACGCGTTGTCTGTCATCTGCAAATGACACACAGAACCTGGACCCATTGAAAAACACCCACTGGTTGGAGATTCATGGTGGTTGGAGGCTATGTTGTTGTGCAAACAGGAGTCTGTTGACTCGATGACGTTGCGTAATGACGTTTCCCGATATGGCCCCTTAGTGCCACAGCCTGCAGACGTCAAATGACTGTCATGGCGCTGATGTGGCGTCCTTTACGTCCTACGGTGTTTCGAGGTGAGTTTGCTGCTGTCTGAAAGCGGTTTCTTTGGAGAACTCGTCGGATGTGCCGGTCTGGACGTGCCGTGGTGACCGGATTTTGTCCTGGTAAGGGACGGTCACAGACGCTTCCAGTTTGCTGATGACGATTTTGGAGTCTGTTGATGGTGGATGGGCTCACTCCGAAGTGGTGGGTGACCACCAACATCATCCCGATAGCTTGTTCCCTCTGCTGTTCACTGAGCCTTTGGCATTTTGTGACTGCTAGTGAAACGGTTGAACCATAGTGCCTTTTAGGCGTCCAAAACCTGGGTTTGCATGTGTATGTCATGATAATCATGCACCCCAACAAGGTCCAAGGAATATGCCAAAGTTGTGTTTTCATGAACTGTACCCATGCCAGAAACACGAAAAGGGTTCGAACCCAGATGTGCATATGGTTTTATTCGGCAACCTCACATCACTATATTTTCGTGTGGTAAATGAAATTGCTTCACAAAACTTTGTTAGAAATTGCCAAAATGGGTTTTGCGTTTTCAATGTGTGTCAGTATATTTACAACAATATCGACATCCACATTACAAAGTACTGTACCCTAGATATGCCAAAAACACGACACGTTTCTTATTTCGAGACCTGCTCCGGTCTCCTCGAGGAAAACATGAGTAATTGAGTTTGGTTTTACATCGCTTTTCGCAATATTCCAGCACGACAGGGGACACCAAAAATGGGCTTCACACATTATAATAAATAATAATAATTCATTTATATAGCGCCTAGTATCCATCTGACTAGTTGCTCACTGGAAACTGTAATCAGAATGTGATATCATTACCAATTGCACCCATGTGGGGAATCGAACCCGCGTCTTCGGCGTGACGAGCGAACGCTTTAACCACTAGACTATCCCACCGACCCTCGAGGAAAAGAAAGCTTTCACAATGTAACACGTGGATACACTGAACTAGGACAAGTGTTTGTGCTTCAGTTACGGTGACCGGGAAATTGAACGATGCCGGTTACGCTTATTGATAATCACAGCATCAGCGGTAATAACAGACAGAAGGGTCCTGACTCTGACAACAAACACAATACCTTTTGTACAGGTGACCTTCACATCTGCACATTGAAAAGTAGTTTTCTCAGCTTCGTTAAATCTCATTTTTATGACATTTCATGTTCTACAGTTCAGAGATGAACGTCTTCAATGAAGTTACTGACGTCTCTGCTGAATCTACTCAGTGCGAGACAGGTGCCCTAAGGTACACATAGTGTGTCCACATTTGGCAAAATGAATTGAGGCACGAAGTGCTACAAGATGACCACTCACGGCGCCCCCTTTTGGCTGTTATGTTTCTCTGTGCATATAAATGGGAACTTGTGTTTGCATTGGGAAAATATAAACAAGGGAATAAGGACAATATATTTTCACGGATGTATCATCATTCCATTCTACTGTACTGAGTCAAAAAAGAAACTTCACAAAATGTAATTTGAAAAATAATGAATAATTGTATCCGAAATCGGATCCCTATCTTTCGACTCTAGAAAAACGTTAGCAAAACCCACTCAAACCCATCCATTCGTCATGCAAATGACGTTAGTGTCAAATCAGGTTTTGCACGTGCAGTCGATCACGTGATCTTCGCATCGAAGTTTTCTTCATATGCACGTGTTTGCATTGGCCTCAAGAACTGAAAAAACACTTTTAAACCACAGTTCTAACGGTACTTGAAATGCCACGATTGTCAAATGTGCAACATGAACGTGCCGTTGGCATGTTGCAAGCGGGAAGATCAGTTATTGACGTCGCAAGAGCAATGGGATGCAGCCGTCGTACTGTGTATGACTTGCGAGGTCGTCTACAACAAACTGGCACTACTTCTGATCGCCCAAGGTCGGGTCGTCCACGTGTGACGTCACGAGCAGAAGACCGTCAAATCGTCCTACGTCACCTACATGACAGATTTCTGCCGGCTACACGAACCAGGGCTGAGATGTTTAGAGGTCGACTGTCCTCACAGACCATTCGAAATCGGTTGCGGGCTGCCAATCTCCATTCTCGACGTCCATATCGTGGACCAATATTGACGCCGTTTCATCAACGTCAACGTCTGCTGTGGGCCCAACGTCAGCTCCGATGGACCCAGAGAGACTGGAATCGAGTCGTCTTTAGCGATGAATCCAGGTTTACCCTCAGATTCGCGGACGGCAGGCATAGAGTCTGGAGACGACGTCGTGAATGGTATGCCCAATGTTGTGTACAGGGGAGTCGACAGATTCGGGGGCGGAAGTTGCATGGTGTGGGGGTACTTTCTGTGGGAACAACCGTTCCCGACTTCTGGTCATCCATGGAAACCTCACAGCTGCTGCTTACCGCGACCAGGTGCTCACCCCTGAACTCGTTCCTTTCATGGCGGCTCAAGGCCCGGGTCTACAGTTCCAGCATGATAATGCTCGGCCGCATACCGCGATGTTGACACGAAATTTCCTTCAAAACGCTGGAATCAACGTATGGACTGGCCATCAAGGTCCCTTGACCGTAATCCAATAGAGCACGTTTGGGATGCACTTGGGAGAAGGCTTCGTGGTCTTAGGAACCAACCTCAGAATTTGCAGGAACTTGGCGCTGCCTTGCAAGAGCAATGGCGCAGAATCCCCAACCACGTGTTCACAAGCATCAGGCAGTCGATGAGGAGACGGTGTTTGGCAGTGGTGAATGCGCGGGGCGGCCATACACGATATTGAACTGAGAAATTTCGCATTTTTATTCTTGTGACTTGACATTCTGTATACCCATGTTTTGGAACGGCGGTGTAGCCTAATGGAACTGATTATGGCACTGTCAGTGTATCGAGTACATCACACAGATCTCAGCAATGAAATAATAACAATTTAACCATCTTACCATCTCTTGTTCTTTTATAGTGCCCTGAAGAAAGAATGTGAAGATTCTTTTTTTTTACTCAGTATATTTTCCCTTCGGAACTATAATCCTGAGAAAAAGTTAAGCACCATCCCTTTTTTGGGGCAAGTCGAGAGAATGAAAGGCCGAAGTATGAACACACTCTTGCACTAAACTAATGTTTGGAACCTGTAGATATGATAAATGTGTGCACAGAGAAAAGAAAGCCCGAAATGTTGTAACAGATATTCGTGTCTATTTTAGCATTTGAACAACTGCATGTTTCTCAGTCTTCCCATAAAGCTTTTAAGTTCGATTCTGGGACCATCATGTATGAAACAGTCATTAGTGTCTGCTTTCTCAAAGTTGGGAAAAACAGTCCTGTGGCCATTTTAATTTTATAAAGTCAGTGTTTTGTGTAACCACCATGAACACGAAGGTCAGCTTCAACTCGCCCCCTCATTCCTTGGACCAGACGTCGTAGCTGCTGTTGCGGTAGCTGCCGCCATTCCTGACGAAGAGCTGCTTCAAGTTCATTAAGATTCTGCACTGGTGGTTGTCTTTGCGAATTGTCCGACCCAAAAAGTCCCACACATGTTTAATAGGGTTTTATCGGGGCTACGAGCAGGCCAGGGGATCGTTGAGATGGCATTCTGCTGCAGCAGATCTACAGTGGCACGTGCACGATGAGGTCTAGCATTATCATTCATAAACATGGGACGAGAAGCTAAAGGGTGGTTATCAAAGTGAGGGATCACGCTCTGTTCCAAGATGTCCATTCGGTACTTTTCTCCAAGTTGAATTTGCAGTCATGCGAAACGCACCCCCCATACCATCCCAGACCCTCCGCCATATGGAACTGATTCCTTGATGTTCCTTGCAGCATATGCCGTATTTAGTGTCCTCCAGACTCTGGTCCTGCCATCCGTAACATGCACCAGAAAACGACTTTCATCTGACCAATGGATCCGTCTCCACGTTGTCAAATTGTGTCGATATCTGAGTCTGCACCATTACAGTCTCACACTCTTATGACCAATGGTTAGCAAAGG